ATTGAATTTTATTGACAAACGTCTAACCTTTAAAATGCAGCCAGTTTCAGATGTCAAAGTAAATTACGCTTACAAGTAGCGTCAACTAAATGTGAGCCGCGGAAACTATGTTTACCACCTAATAAAATACTTTTAGGTCGAATATAAGTAACATAGGTAAAAATTAAGTCCAAATGTGAATGTCTCAGTTGAACGGTCTCTTTAAATTTGAGCAATTTTATTGAACGTTTCACTTGGAAGCTTACTTTAGGTATAGATATATACATATAGGCCATAGGGTACCATTTAGGTCAAGGTATAGGTCAGGTTGCGTAAATAAAACATGGTATAAACTAGTGCGTATGAATGTTCGTCCGATATATAGCGATAGAAGACTAATATGTAAAATTATGCGTGCGTAATATCCTTTCATTAATTCAATACAGGTTATATGAGGCATATGTTGACGTCATTTTTTTTACAATATCTCTCATTTGAAAGTTACAAAGATTTGCCATTAAAATTTATCATCAGTTTAGAGACACTCTGTACACACTAAAAAAGTGTTTCAAGAAAAACTGATTAACCGTAATAAGATTCTATCTAATTCTCTATAAAAAAAATAGCCACCCTGTATAAGAAAAGAACTAAGCGGATTACTGTTATAAACATCGCGATATATGCTTAGACGTTTCATTTAAATTCAATGAGGCTCTATATTTAGGGCCTATGAAGAACTACCGTGTAGTTTGTAGACCTTCGATAGGTCTACAAAATAGGCCGTGAATACATTAGAGAATCTGTTAGCATAATCGACTCATGTCAAGACGATTGAGGAAGAAAATTTTTACTGGAAAATTCCCACGTATTCGTTTAGAACAATCAATTTTTTAATGTGTGTAATGAAGAAACCGTACTTGTAGATAACAACATCCTCCAAGTGCTTCTTCACTTCATATAAATTGATGTTTTATATCCTGTATTTTCCATTTTCCAAGTCCCATTTTTTATATAATTTGTAATAAATTTCAACTGCCTTTAAATTTTTGCAATCTTCTGCAGTATTTAACACAAGTTCTGCGAGGTATTTTTTCTAATATTTAAACTTGTGCAAAATTTGTATTGCAAGGCCACTCCGGAAATTAATTTAGATTGTAAAACGGCACTTTCTCGGTCTTAGAGGATGTTAATTATAATAAATATTATAAGTACGGTTCTTCAAATACATTTTAAAATTAATTAACAAATTAATAAAATTCGTATCGCTCAAATGTGATAAACACAAATATGAAGGAATAAATGACTAAGAGCCGTGGACAGGGTGTTAGTGTCTAAATATTTTATTCTAAATACATTACGAAAAACTATCACCTCTGCCAGAGTTTGAACCTGGACCTTTCTCTCGCTAGGCGGGCGTCTCAACCAATTCGACCACCGAGGCATATGGCAATATTCATCGCAATAAACAGTCTAATGTTGATTCCTGAATGCCACATATATCGTGACAGTATTCGAAAACGAGAACTGCGTGCCGACTTAAATCGTCAGTCTTAAAACACAGTACAATGGAAGTAAGAAATGCGTATTACGTCCGCGTAAAAGTAAATTGTTTAGGCTTGCTTTGAGCTTTAAAATAATCAATGTATGTAAAGAATCCGCGTTCATAATATTTAATTAACATTCTCTAAAACCTATGAACTGTCGATTTACATTCTAAATTAACTTCCGGAGTAGCCTTGCAATATAAATTTGCACAAATTTGAATATTAGAAAAATACTTCGCAGAACTTACGTTAAATATTGCGCAGAAGATTGCACAAATTTAAAGGCAAACTTTCAATTAATTACAAATTATGCAAAAAAGACTTGGAAAATGGAAAATACAGGATATAAAACATCAATGTATATTAAGTGAAGACTATGAAAAATGGATAAAGCAGAAAATAAGTGAGAATAAGTAACAAGTGCTTCTTTCGTATTATTTCGTGAGAATTTCGATAAAATATTAACTACAAAACTAATCCATTTTCGGTTAAGTGCTTTATCGGGAAATCGACTCGATTGCGTGAAATTTAATAATGACGAAAATAGTGAAGATGACAGATTTTATTCTTGCCCGGAAAGATAGCGCATTTTGTAGACCTCGTAGCGAGGATCTAACTTCAGAATGTTTTTATAATTTGGATAATTAACCATGAAATCGATGGGAACAAGTCTATATTTTTCCGGACCTTGTGTGACTTTATGTGCGATTCCGGATTCGAGTTTGCTAACTTGGAGGAAGTGGGAGGTAGGACCTTGACCGGAGCTAATGCTTTCTTAATTTAGTACCTCAGGCGTTTCAGTTGAAGCCGGATACCCTCTTTTTTGGGCATTAAGAAAAGTGTCAAGAGGAGACTTGTCGTGACTGTACTCTGAGAGAGAGATTCCGTTAACCACGCTTTTCGGCAGCGACCAGAGAAGGATAGGATCACGAGAGGAGTCGTATTAATATAAGGAAGAATTCTGATTTACTTTGTATTCGTATCTTTAAATTACAAGATAGTCGTCGATTTCTAAGTCCGGACAGAACAAGAATTTTGCATGTGTGAGAAGTCCGGTGTCGAAACTTGAAAATTTCTAACGGTTTAACCCGTAAAATTTTGTCGCTTGACGAGTCGAACGTTAACTGAATGTACTTTAATGTCCAAAAACTAAGCGTCGGATACAAAATATTAGCTGCTTCTGGAGTATACTCTCTCTCTCTCTCTCTTTCCCCTCCCTCCCCCCCTTTCTCTGGCCCTACGGCGTTTAGCGCTCCTATTTATACCCCGAAATGACGAGAACCTCCCCTGCTGGAGCCTTCCACCATTTGGGACTTAAACTAGTAGAAGAGAAGGTTTATCTAAAAGTTTGCGATATCTGAGCTCGGAGCTACGTGTCCCCCACGTTATCCTGCGATAGTTGTATCTATAAACGGAATGTTTTTCGCGGGCGTTCGAAAGAGCCTTAGTGGGAAGAAAATTCTAGTAAAAATTGTAAGCACTTTGTACGTGACAATACACATTTAAAAATATTTAAAAAAAATTTGAAACAATACATATTTTTAAAAATAATTTCCCTGGAAATAACACAGCAGATTCGAGTTTGTGCAGATTTCTTTCCTCTCTTATTTTGAAAATGGACGCGAAAGACAATTGCATTTACGTGTTTCTTTTGCAATCATCGTGCATACATTTCGTGACATAACATAAAATTTTTCTTATTATCTTAATATCTTCGATACAAAAAAGAATCAGAGGCGTGATCTTTGTTGGCTATATACCGTGACCTATCTCTTTTTTCGATGTGATAAAATTGGAATCACTTCCGCGTGACATCGATAACGTGCTCGCATGCGCGTAACTGTACCGTGATATGTGTACGCAATATTGACTACGCGCGGACCCAGATACGATTAGCATGTTTTTAAAATATGTACGCCTATCGGTCAAGTCCGGCTGCGAAAGTATATAAATACGTACATGCATATATACGTATTCAATAAATTAAATCTCTTAAATCATATTAAAGCCATTATTTATATTTTTTTCCACACTACCTCTGTTGCTTTAAATTATTCGCGACAATGGACACAGTGATTAAGTACATAAAAAAAATTCAATACATTTTTCCAAGTAGTACATTACACTAGAAATATGGATATTGACCTGATTGCAGGAAATTACGTCTCGATTAAATTATAATACTCAAAAACAAATGTATTTAATTAAACTTTATATATACTTTTTATTGCACATATGTAAAGTAGAGATATTATTCCGATCGTCACCTCCGTTTGCGGTCACAAACAGCAATCAGTATCGCGAGTCGGCGGAGTAATTTTTTTTTTACTAAATTCCATTATCCTTGCAATTCCAATGTTTCTTGAGTTGGTAAAGACAAAAATGAAAAGTATCAATCGCGATCTAGATCTCTGTGCGCACGCATTTACGTATTCTTTGCAGCCGGACGTGACCGTTCGGCGTGTTTGTGAAAAGTTCCATTATCCGGTAATTGCATACATCATCAGAGAAAACATGCCGCTCGTGCACGCCACTATAATTTGGATACTAAATACGATGAAATCAAGAGATATAAAAAAAGTTAATAATATAAGAAAATATTTTGCGCTCCCCGGAACTTTGGCTCGGCGTTTCGTCTCGAAGTGCTTTCGGCAATTATCATAAACGGGCCCGGCGAGGTTTCCTTTCCGGCAGGATCATTTTAACCCGGGGAGATCGCGATTTCCCTCGAAATAGTCCCTCGGAACCGCATGCTGTTGCCCGCTCGAGCAAGCGGCAGTTATCGACCATGTCGAAACAAAAGGCGGGGGAGAAATAATTGAAGACAATTGTTGATCGCCACGCGGAAAGGCAATCGTGGTCGAAGTCACCGTGATTACGGATTTACAAAAGGAATAATTTCGCCGACTCCGTTCAACACGAACGATCGTGGATCGTGAATCTTGACGAAAACTATTGCTCCAATGTTTAATCGACGAATATAAAATGAACGAATCTGAGATATCCAATTCAATTTTATTTAAGAGGTCCCGCGTATTGCAATTACTCTTATTGCAATTACTTTTATTTTGGTTAAAGTAAGTTTATTCATTTATTTCAAAAGGGAAAAAAAGAACAAGAATTCTTCAAAGATTACAAGTGGTCTTGTACACTGAGAGACCCATTTTGTCGAATGAAACGAAACAATTGAATCATTTTGTTGACTGAATCGTTTAGTTGAATATTATAAAAGGATTCTGCGCATGTTCACTCAACCAAATTGGTCTAATCCCTCTGGCAATGGTAAATCCGGCGTTACGGAAATACGTAAGAAAGATACGAACCTCCCAGAATATCCATGAGGAGAAGAGGGCTTGTAGTAAGTTATACGCTATGAGGACCCGCCGAAGGTCGAAAGGCTTTCTATTTTCCATCAACTTCGGTCCCAGAATCTTACTGAAGTAAGCGTACGACAGGCATATCGCCACGGTCGGAAAGGGGCTGCTCATCATCGCCCAGTCATTCACCCTGGAATCTGAAAACAAACGGAGAGAGCGTAACGTTAGAGGAGGAAGAGGCAATCGCCGACGAAGAGAAGCTGCGGAGAGTTCGTGCGTGAAGTCGCTTAAGGAAGGAAGGAGATGGGATTTTAGGGACGACCGGCGGAAGAACAAAACAAAATTCCGCTCTCGTAGAGCGTCGACTTTTCGCAATGTATATTACACACACATATATATATATATAATATATATACACACATTGGAAAGTGGAGCACGCGATGACAATTTAAAAGCTGTATCTGTGTTATGCAATGTCTCGCGGCGACGCGCACCTGTAACGGGGTCAAAATTCGTAACTGTCGGCAGGAAGTACCGTTGCGGAGAGACAAGAATTTATTACACCACCGTTGACAGGTTCCGCGGACGAATCTGCCGGTGTTGTAACGCCCGGCGTTGTATCGACCGCAAAGGAAAATCCAGCGGAATGTCGGATCGGCCGATCGTTTCGCGGTTTCGCGGATCCTCTCTTAGATAACCGGGAGATCTCCGAGTGCGCGGCTGGAAGAGAATTTATCGTTCGCGAGCGATGGTTTTCAAGCGGCGACGCGTCCGGCCTTCCGTAGGCGGCCCTAGAAAACGCCATCGGCATTTTTCCAGCGACCCTTCGGCGAGGGAGGAAGCAGAAAGAGGCGCGAGAGTGCGTGCACGAGGCGCGAACGAGCGAGCAGTCGCCTTACGCTAAATTGCCCTCGCCACTCGTGCGACCCGACGGATACGACACGGCCGATACGCGGAACGATTTTTTTTCTCCCTCCTCCCTTTTCCCCTCTCCCTCTACGGTTTTTTTTTCAACATTCTCAGCTTGGGCTCTTGGTCAACACGCGACTGACCGACGACTCGATTACGAGCTGACGATGCGGCTCGTCGTCGATATTGACGCTTTACACGCTTCGGTTTTAACAGTTCACGCCGTCGTTAATTAACGAGCCAATTTGACCGTCTAGTTTACGGTTGCAAGGCGCTCACGGGTTTATATATACATAAAACATCCAGGCACTGAATCCCCCACGATAAAAGATTTACATCGATATTGACGTAGGAGAGCCGGATACGCGCAGAAGGTTCGCTAATCGATGAGTGAGTGAGTGAGTGAGAGAGAGAGAAACTAAGCGACGCGATGTCCCAATAACGAGCGCATGCCGGTTGGTGTATCCGAAAGGAAAGTAGGTGCAAGCAAGGCGAGTTACGAGGCACGCAACTGTAATGACAAAGCCGGAGCGCGCGGCCGGGCGACGGTGAATGTTGCATCGAATTTCGTCTATCCGCGCACCCCCGGCCGTTACGTAATGTACCCTCGCGTGGACTTTGACGAAATCAACAATGCGGCAAAAGGGCGGCCGTCGCGCGCGACGGCGGAAATTCCGATTAGCGTAACAGCAGGAGGCCGCGTACGTCGACGCCGCCTCGTCGGACTTTTACGCCCGCCGTCTTCCGCGTGACACAAAAGCTGCCCCCTTCCCCCCTCCTCCTTCCCGCGCATTAATCGGGGGGGGGGGAGGGGGGTAAAGAGAAAGGAAATGGAAAAAAATATCGGTCGCCGGCGGATTACCGGCTCTCATCGATTTCAAGACGCGGCGGCGAAACGTCCGGACGGCCGTGCAATTTTCTTGCTCCCGTCACGCCCCAATTAAAGATAACGCCGATCTCACCCCGTCAACGCCGTATTGACGCCGCAGACGAACGTCAGGTCTCACTCACTCACCCCCCCCCTCTCCCCCTCCGCAATTGTCGGCGAACGCGCGCCGATTCCGGGCCGATCTTTCAATTGTCTCGGCGCAATTCTGTTTTAGTCGCGTTGATAAAAAAAAATAAATAAGCGCACGCCTCTGCCGTAAGGTAATCTTTCGTTCGTTCGGTTTCCGACACGAGGGGGTTCTATTTTTATCCTCTGACTTCTCTCTCAATAATTCGCACGCGCGTGGATCCGGCGCGTGGCCGTTCGAGATGATCAAGAGTATAAATTTTGCAGGTGTTCTTCCGTAAAATATCGGGGCTATGTGTCACCGAGCTCTTCAACCGATCAATTTTAATTGAGCGGTTCCTTCCGGGTGGGGAGGGGGGGGGGGAATAATTGAAAGACGGACTCGGGTTGGTCTCAAGTTGCTTCGCGATTAAAAATAGGTCTCTCCGGAATTAGAAGGCCGAAGAGGCAAGCGGTAAGATATTATCGGAATTATTGGAAGTTTATTCTCGCTCGCGGCAATCGCCACGCGGATGTCGCGAAGGGATAATCGTAATGGGAACCGCCGGCGGAATGGCTCGTGTAGAAAACGGGGGTCAAGGACTCCCAGTGGTCCGCGGAGAAATTAGAAACGGAACGCCGGGCGTTACGACACGATATTGACTCGAGGCCGCCGCCGGAAGATTCCGAAGGTGGGTGGGAACGAGGGAGGGTGTTCTCGTCGCCGTGAAAATACGCGCGGCAAACACTGTCGGAATCGTCGAAATTTCGGTTGTAATGCGGGACTTCCGGCGAGGACCTCCTTCGTCGTCCTCCCGGCCTCTCGGTTAAATTTGCATGGTCACTCTCTCTCGAAACGACGCACCGAGAGACCCATTTTGTTGAATGAAACAAAATTTAGTTGACTCAACTGAATTTCTTGCTTGGATATGGGCAAACATATCTTTCAGTTGACACAACAACGAAATTTAGTTGGAAAATTTGGTTACACAGCAACACACAAATTTGGTTGAGTGAACACGCGCAGAATCCTTCGGTAATGTTCAACTAAACGTTTATAGTTCGCTTTGTATAAGCATATGTTGCTTCAATGAAACAAATCTCGATGAAATAAACAGGAATACTAGATCCGAAGAAACCTTTTTCTCTGCGCACTCAACACAAAATGGGTCTCTCAGTGCGAGAACACCGATCGGCGAGATGCCGATCTCCTTCCTCGTCGAGCGCGAACATGATGCCATTTAATTAAACATTCAATAGTGAACCATTTTATGGCGTTACATAAGTAACTTTACCTCCTCTATTACCATATTTGCGAAACTACTGGTATTACGTAATACCGGCGAGAAAAGAACGGCGCGCATAAACACATTTCACCGAGTGATTACATTAATTCATGCACGCTTACATATATTGACGCAACGTGTCAACATAGAGCGTATTACGAGCTACTTTTCAATCTCGCGAATTTACCGAGGCCCGCGAAAGTGGAACGAGCAATTTTTATCGTCACTCGATTCTATGACGCGAAAAGCTTTTAGTACGTACCTCCTTGTGCCGAGATTAGAGAACTCGGCGTGTCAATGGCAACGCGATATCGCAATCGTCGCCGTTCGGCGAAACGTAGTTGAGGCACATTTCGCGGACGAAATATTTGATAAAAATATTTGCGCCTCGCGCAATCGAGATGATATTCGAAGCACGTCACTGTTTCTCTTTCCACGACGCTTAAAACGACGCGAATTTTTTAGCCAACACTGGCGGCTCTTTTTAATGCTTCCGCAGCGAGATTTAGCATCGTGCGAAAGGAACAACGTACATATTTTTACGGTTACGTAAACATCGACGTCTCTCCACGATAGCCCATTTCGGAGTGGTAACAGTGAATGAGTTTTCGGACTGATAATGTTTGTAGTACTCTAGCCTCGTGGCGTAGATACAAGAGAATTGACATTCCACTCTTTCGCCTGATTTCCCCTTTGCGAGTTTATAAAGAACGGAGTTATATGTAAAATGTAAAGATGCGGGAGTGGATTTTGTATATGTGGGGGTTGAAATATGCTAGAATCAAGGTTGGGAAAGTTACTTTATAAAAGTATCTAGTTACAGTTACGGTTTTTTCGCTAAAAATGTAACTAGTTGCAGTTACAAGTTACCAATTCTGAAGAGTAACGCGTTACGGTTACTCAAAAAGTAACGAGTCGTTATTTTGCAGTCACTTTCCTGCGATGAAAATAAAAAAAATCAAATCTGCATTTAATTGTAAAGCATCGATTAAGGCATTTATGCAAGGCCTAATGCAATCTGTGGAGGTTTAAAAAGAACATATAAAGTAACTATTAATCTAACTATATTAAATTAGTTACTGGTTATCGAAAAATGTAACTAACAAACAGTTACAGACGGAGAGAAAGTAACAAAGTTAAGTTAGATTTTAGAGTTACAAAAAAAGCAACTGAAACTGTAACTTCGTTACAAGTAACGAGTTACTTCCCAACCCTGGCTAGAATACAACGGAAATGTATCGGACTTACCGGACTGATTGTCCATAAGGTCCCTATAATGGTGCACCAGGCTTGTCACTGCGCTTGTCATCTTGAATAGTATCTGGAAATATAACAATTGTTACTTTTCGCTTGAACTTTCGGAACAGCTGTTATTAAATAATGCGAAACATGCGAGGACAATGCCCTTGGAAGATCGGTGTGAGGTCTAATCTCACAATGGTACTTTCACTGACTAGTAAACTTTTATATTTTTTACGTTGCAAAAATTCCCATAAAGGAAGATAACAAAGTTTCGTCATGGGACATCGTTGAAAATTTCACAATTCAGTGATAACCTTTGAGAGGTCGCATAGTTTATCACAATAATAATTAATATTGATAGCGCGACGAAAAATAAAAGTCGTCCCAATCGATGTTCCTTCTTATCGCGTGATTCTGAAGTAAATCGAAAAAATCGACTCCAAATTGATCAAAGAAGACGTCCGCCTGCGATCTGTCTCGCGGAAGCTCACGCTTTTGCGAGTAACAAGCAATTGTTGTTTCAGAACACTCCGGCAGGATTGTAGAGATGCTCTAGAGATGTATAAATATACATGAGAAATAATTGCTTAATTTTCATAAAACGTTTCGAGAGAATAAACAGTCCCTTATATGCGATACAATAATAAAAATGTAGCGGAAATCAAGAGACATAGCGGTGTCTCGCGCCAAGTATAAGTCTTTCTTTAACCTTTAAATAAAAACCCGGTATTCACCGTTAATTCTTATTTCAAGATCATCTCAGGTAATGTCTTAAGAGGCTGACGCTCTGCGATTGGTTTACAACGCATCAGGTGATCTTAAATACAGGAACGGACCACGGCCACGGCATTGAAAGAAGGCCGTCACGTTTTTTTTTTAAATTTCGTCTTCAACATCAACCGAATTTCTCGACTAATTGCGACCCAATTTCCTTCCCAGCACTCACGAGCGATTTTCTTCATACGTTCACGCCCCCGTCCCGATTTTGTGTGTCAAATATCACGGTACACACCGGCCGTTAGTGGGTCAAAATAACGGTCACACGTGCCCGCGAGAGAGCTCCAACATTTTGTCGAATCTCTTCATTGAACGACGACCACGACGACGTTGCCATTGACACACTGAGCTTTAATCTCGGTATAAGGAAGGTAGGCGTAGTCGAGCACGGCCGACTGTGCGTGTGCGCGCGTGTGTGTGTGGGCGTACTTACGCGCTCGATCGCGTTAAAGCGAATACGGGACCTACGTACCTAGTTAATTCATATTTGATAAGTGCACTTAGCGCATGCAAATCGGGCACGCTGATTGTCCGAGCGGTGTAAAGACGGCGAGAGTTTGACTTCTCGCGCCGCGCCGTGAATAAGAATTATTCTCGTACGTCGCAGCGATATGGTCATTGTGCACCTTGTTTGTTATCTGCCAATATTCTTTTAATGGAAACGTCAAGAATCTTATTTATCGTGTAACGTTTCTAGGTTACGATTATGTAACACACGAGTGACGTGCAGGTCCGTCGCGACTGCCTTCAACGATAAGGTATTTCATTCAATTATAATGTCCCCGCACAGCGACGGCTTTATTAATCTTTTTTTTTTCACGTCCTTTCTTTGAATACCAATATGTCCATTGTATCCGAATAAATTAATTATATTGTCATATTATCGCATTACTAATGACGTTCAAATTAGACGTTAAAACATATATGTAATATAACTAAAGATCAAGAATACAAGATTTATTAAATAAATAAATATGCCTATACTTTACATTGGAAATTATAGTTAATTTTCCATTCATTAATTTCATTAATTGGCAATTATGTTAATTTTTCAACGTAAAGTATAGGCAAATTTATTTCTTTAATAAATCTTGTATTCTTCATCTTTATTTATGCGCGGCACACACACACACACACACACATACATACGCGCGGTTCACCCCCCGTTTTATTTCTCAGATACCAATCTTATCGTATCTTATCATCGCTTTTATATAGAGGAGCAGCTAGACTGTAGATATAAATACAAACGCAATGTTAGCGTCTGTTGGGATGACTAAGCAGATGGAAATCTGAACTTTTATTTTCCTAATACATAACATAAAATAGATAACATTACATATTAAATACTTGATGGAGCTTTCGTTTGATCCTGATAATAAATACATACGTGATCACGTTTCCTTTTAATTCGCTGCCGACAAGAACCCGGGGGGGGGGGGACACCGCGCAGAAGCTTACATGGTACGAATAATCACCGTATCAACATTTGCGAATACCATGTTATCGATCCTCTCTTTTTATCGCTGAAATTTTATATCGGGAAGCCTTTTATCGTCTCGTCATCGTATGTGTCATCATTGAATGGTTAAGAGAAGATAATGCCGATAGCGGGAAAGCATTTGCCGGTGCAAGCCGGGATTTAGCCGAGACTTATCGAGCCGCGTAAATTTCTCTCCCGCTCTCTCGACGTGTCGTAGCTTCCCCGGTCGATTACGCGTATTACGTAAACAGACAGGTGAGTAGACGTCGGTGGCAGGCCATCGAAACAAAAAGGGGAGACGGAAAAGTGACATGAGAGAGGCCACTTTCGGCACCGCGAAGTGTGCCGCGAGAAAGTTACTAAATACACGATTACAGCGCGTCAGAAACAATTGCACCAGAGTTAGGTGGCTCAGAGGAGAGCGGCGGGAGGGATGTGCGCGCGTGACGTAATATCGTTACAGCGAATTCGGTTGCTTGCACCGATGCGCGCCACTTGTTTACAATTTTTACATTTAAGGATCGTTTTAAATACCTCTCGGAATACTCTTTAGCCAGTTAAACGATTTGTACGAGACATTTTCTTGGCGCGATAGTTCTCGAGCATATACTTAAGAAGACTATAAATATAAGAATTCACTCTGAGCAAGCCTTAAGGCCGAAGCAGACTAGCAATTGTCGACGCGAATTGGATTGGGATTGGCGATTGTCTTCTGGCCAATGAGAGTCGATTAAATCGCTGGCTGCTTTGTTCTCATTGGCTAGAGGACAATCGTCAATCGCCAATCGAATCCGAGTCGGCAATTGCTAGTCTGATTCGGCCTTTAGCGCGAGCAACCGAATTCGCGATTAGATTGGAACTATTTGGATCCTGCCGATTGACTCTTGATCCCTCAACACATTCACGTTCTTTCATAAGTAGTTTACAATTCTAACACGTAAATTGACAGAAAAGAAAAGAAACGTTAAGCCGCACGTACATAAAATTAGCATATCACTCATTATCGGCACAACTACGGGGTACGGTTATTGCGGCTTGTCAGTGACGGTTAAAACCAGATTAATCGGTTTGACATTTCTCTTTTGTGCGCGCGTTTACGTGTGTTTTCTAATAAATCAAGTTTGTACATAAATCACAAACATTCTGTCCAAATTACAAACCACGACAGCGTGACGCCTTTTTAATGCTCATTCGCAGCTTTTCCGCATTCACATCTTTCACGGATGCGTTCTTTGCAAGACATTATCATTTAATTCCACATCTTACGTGGTATCCAAGGTCACCATTAATTAGCATAAGCATCATCTATCAATTTTATTATGACTTCTAGCAACTGTTAGAGCTATTTTAACCAGAAATCGTATACTTTATTGCGTAATAATCCGTTTTTATTATTTTACTGCCAGGTTACGTATTAATAATTGTAAAAGGAAAAAAAACTAAGTATAGGTCAATCCTTATTAAAAAATCCTTATTAAATAAGATATTTATCATAATCTCAACTAAACGTAAATGTGCCTTGAACTTTTTCTTCTCTTTTTTTTCTTAATTGGCACTGCGAAATATCCATTCGATCGCAGTCATCAGTCGTTCTAATATTACAATTATTTTTGCACATCTTAAATACACCGCATAAAAGCCTTATCGCAGTACTGGCGTTAATGATATCCTTCAGATATAATCGCGCGGTGCAAGCAAGTTATTACATTTTGTTTATCTACGAAATGATGTGTGTAGTCGCCCGCGTAACTTCTAACTAATCTCACCATCAAATTGGCCTGTTTGGAGCAATTTTAAAGCCCGTTGCCAAGTTTCGCATATATTGTGGTCAATATGGAAATAAAGTTCTTTTTCTAACAAAGAGCTGTTGAGACGTCGAAATAACGTTTAAATTGTATGCACTTAGGAGCAAAGGACGAACATTCTCGATCAAGCTCCAAAAGTAACAAGGACAACAATCTATATAATTATTTAACCCAATTCAAACGGATGTTAATTTAAAAACATGCTACAAACTATTTAACGCTGAAAATTACAATTTAAATTTTGCAAGCAAAAAATCGACTTTAAATCGGCTTTCAAGACTATTCCTAAAATTAAAAATTGTTTCAAGAATATTCCTACAAGGACGACTCGTTTAATTTATTCGCTCTGTAGATCTCACTGTATACTTTCGTGCCTCGCGAAAGTTTGAGCCTCGTTATCGACTACTTTCCAAAAACTTTCCGAATTATTGTATTAAATTGTATTCCAATACAAGTTCGCAATATAGGAAATACCGTACGTGTTATCTTGAGATATACTGTGATATATTTTAAGAGTCGGTTCTTAGCGTTTCCTGTCGAGGCTCTGATTCATATCGTTCCGTAATTACATCGGCTAATTGCATCGTCAAGCAGTCGCTTGTTCCCGATTCGGCACCGCGATGTGTTATCGGTTAAAGATTATGAATTCAATTATCAAATTTTCTATCGCGAATTCCATTCATGAATCACCGAATTACGTGTCGTTTAAGCGAACTGGACAGAACAGTGCGTCAACATTTGTACACAAAGTCACAGCGATAGCTCGTAATAGTATTAATGAGTCAAATCAACATTAATATTTGTAACACTTTGTTATCGGCAACATTACAAAATGGAATTTATGAATTCGGTTTTGTAATCAGAAAAATAAAAGAAGACAAAAAGTATAATAAATAATACGCACCTGTTTTGTTTCGATACAATTCCAATGCGAATGTGCAATCACTTATGAATACAACATTGAATCCCTAACGTTTCAGCTGAGCAAAACAAAATGCTAATTCAGCATTTGTG